GTTCTGGTCATTCTCATTCCCAAATGTAATAAACTTTCACTTTTTCCTGACCTTACTCCCATAAGTATTTCACCAGATAATGAAAGATCAAATAACCTCCTACGTACATGAAAAGTACATCAGTGAGTCTGGTTTCAGACAAGATCAGTACAACATAGACAGTACAACAACAGCCCTTTAATCTTCTACTGACGACATATTCAAAGCTACCGATGAGAGCAAACTGACATGTTCAGTACTGTTGGACTACAGTAAGGCTTTCGATACTCTAGATCACGAAATACTCTCTGTACTCAACGTGTTAGTATAGATGGAGATAATATCAAGGGCCTAACTTGTGTCGAAAGGTGTACTACAAGGACCCTTTCTCGGGCCACTATCATTCAGTATATATATTTCAGACTATAAATCGATGAATGAAAGAGCGATGCCTACATCACTATGCAGATGACACTCAAATATATTTCTCGTTTCATGGGGACAGTTCGCAAGAAGCTCAATTCAATATAAACGCAGACCTCCAGTTTATCTTTGGCAACCCTTCTGCACTTATGCTCAAACTTGAAAAAAATAAGTCTCTTGAAACCAGAAATCACTATTACTTGAGGAAAATAAGAATCTAGGACTATACTTCGATTCTGATCTAAGATTCACCAGACATGTTAACTATCTGTGTCAAACCTCTCATAACATACTGAGGACGTTATATCCGAATCGTAATAAACTCTCTATTCAACTAAAAATGAAACTTGGCGAGTTTCTGATTTTTTCAAAAATTTCTTATTGTGATAGCATCCACGGACTTACTGCAATACGACGCACATCGATTACAACGTATTCAAAATTCATGTTTCAGACTTCGTTATTGAATTCGTATATATGACTATGTTTCATCGAATGAATGGTTAAGAATACATACCCTCAGAACTTTCTATTTATTTATTTATTTATTTCATACACTATTCTACCGGATGAACCCAATTTCAGAATAGGGAGTAACAGTGGCATTTACAAATATGTACTTACATAATATAATTTGTGAATCTAGATATATAAAAAAAATAAAATGAAAACAAAACTGTCAGTTAGCTAAGAAATGTCTTTTTATTTGTATAATCTGGCAGTTGAATATATCTAGGACATGACTAACAGAATTAGAGGTATCGCACATTGTATAAATTGAAGATTTTTTCATTATATTCATGAGCGGAGTGTTGACATAAAATGTGACACTATTCCTGGATGACCATCTAGGAACCCAAAAACTCAACATATGTAACAGTTGAGAGCAGGTGACGATATTTACGCCTTACCTCGAGACTACAAAAATTGTGAGTTACAAGCAATTCATAATAGGGTATTCCTACAGAAGTATACGTGCCTTCAAGTTTGAAAGACATATATTTTAGAAAGCGCCTCTGTAGGGCTTCTAGTTGATTTATATGAACCTGATAGTAGGGACTCCACACTGTATTAAATTAATATATTGGTTGATTTCATGGGAAATATAGTCAGTTCCATGAAAAACATTTTTCATAATAGGTACTCTATTCTTATACTGCCCTCCTAACTAACAAAGCAGTATGTCCACTTTTAGTGGACACTAGTTCTTGGATTTAAATTTATCAACGTCCTTTAACTTCTATGCTATGTATGTAATCTTTCGCAACTTTTGATTCATTCGTTACCAACATCTTATATTTATTTAATAACTTTTCTATATATTCTTTATATTCTTCTTTACATTTATATTCATTATTATAATCTATTTCACATTCATCACTCACATTCATTCTTCCCATACATAGCTTTTTAGTTATATTCTCTTCTGGAATCTTGTTTTTAAATTCAATCCATTTACCATCTAATTCCATACCTAGTTTTTCATAATTAATTTTGGCCTTTAATTCTTCCTCCTCATCACTTAAACTATCGATGTTGGAAAAGTCACTATCTCCTTCATCGTCTAACATTTTGATTTGACAATATCAAATTTAACCTCTGTAATACGGAATAACATCCAAACACAATCGCAGAACAGAAAACACTAAGCCCAAGTTCTCAATTCGCAAGTCAATCCAACCAATAACACCTCTCGACATGTACTGAAATGACGGTACAAAGCACAATCCACTGACTGATAACCAGGTAGGTTGGAACGGCGATATTTACCGTGCAATGTACGATAACCTCACGGTTGGAACGTGTTTTCAGAAATGCACATGAATGTTATCGTACATTGTGCAGTTTTCTGGGCGGTGGGAACAAACCTTTCGTCAAACCAATTCCTTAGTTGAGTTTCCGAAACCGTTGTTCTACTTTTGGTTATTTTGTGGCATACCCTCTCTGACACATCTCTATGTCTTCACATAAAATCCTCATACCATTTCTCCCTATCTTGAAATTTCTATTTCTCATCTCTTCGCCTTTTCCTAATTCTATGGCTATTTTTTTACAGATGCAATAAAAATCTTCCGATCAACCGGAAACTTTCTCTTGGCCAAAGTTTTCCTCCAATCAACAATCCTTTTTTTTTCTTCATAACTGAAAAGAGTTTTCGGCCCCATTTTGCGACCTTTTAGATCAAAATCTCTGACTTTATAAAGTAATGTAGTTGTTGGAGCTGCTGCAATTGCCTTTCCAGTATGATAATTGACAATTGCTGCTTGCATGTTTTCTTCACTGTACTTCAATATTTTTTTATTTTTTTCCGACATGATCTGAAACAAGAGAAATACTAAGAAGAAGCATGCCAGTCTTACACTGGAACACTTATCTTCACCCCCTGTTCCCGCATGTTTTTCATGTTAGGTTATATTACTAATTCCAAATTACTTAACTTGAAAGGAAGAAAAAATAAAATACTACTACTACTTACCATTCGTTGATGTCTAATAAGATATCAGATAGTCAAGTAAACACATACAGGTTCACAGGAAAGTGATAACAGCCATCATGAAATGCTATTCTAAATGACAGTTCCATATACATCCAACAGAGGGAACATGAGCTTATGACATAACTCAAAAGATGTCAGGTTTCACAAAGGACAGGCCCAATATTCATACTTCAAAAATACTGTGTCATCTTTAGGAGCATGTCTGCTACAGGTACATTTACCTTATACCGAACCAGTTATTCAAATCTTGTGAAAGTTTATTGGATCTAGTCGTGATTGTGGCATGATTATGATCAGATATAAGAATTGTGGTATCGTCAGCATAGAGGATAAATTGGGTTCCTGGATTAATTGTTATTCATGTACTAGACCTAAGATAGATCTGAGCAGTACACCCATACTTAGAAGATGTTGAATATAGTAGTTGAAATAATGACAGTGACCACGTAAGTTAAATGCAATCAACCTCGGAGTTTGTATAGGAATATCAACATCTTCAAATTTGATGGATGTAGCCATCACTACGTGGTAGGAAATCATAATGTAAAAAAGAAAATCGAAACATACTTTTATTTATAATTAACGTTACAGCAGTTCCGTCCTATAAGAACATTTTCAAACTTATTGTATAATATATGTATATAATATTGTATAAAACATAGAAAGTTTCAATTCTCTTTTCTACATCTTCAAGTTTGTTTTACAAAATTTCATAACTGACACAGTCGAATGCCCTGAAATCACAAAGTCTCCCACCAGAGCACTCGCCTGTATCAATAGGCCAGTAACATTTCAACATGTAACATTTTGTACTTGTGATGCACTGTTTGACACCTTTGGTGTAGTAATGAATATTACTGGAGTTTTATTGCAACACCAAACGGTTATTTTTAACACCTTGCCACGTGTTTCAATAGCCAAGTGATCATCTTCATAAGAAAGATTAAACTTGAGTTTAACTTTTGTAACATTTGTTACAACTGAAAACTAAAGATATGTGAAGCAATCCACCTTGAATGAATTTGTAGTTGGAGATGTCGTCTTCAGTTCTCATCAACTGAGATGAAAAAGTTACATTAAACACTATGTAGTTTTAAGGAAGAACTGATTTTTGTTGGCAAACTCCGAAAACAAAAACCTTTCACAAATCACATTGTTCATCTATTTGATGTTTGATAAGATTCAACTTTTAATGAAGCCCAAGGCATAAAAGGATAAAAAATTGTCAGTATTGAGTCATAGATTTATTCAGTTATATTCCATTATGTACATTGAGGTATCCTTGAATGTTCTGGCATAATTACATACATATATCAAATTGACCTTTCAGGGGTCATAATTTCCGAACGCGTTTCGACTTCAGAATCCTGTTTACTTGGGTAAAAACACATTTTTTTCTGAATCTTTTCATGTGGGCAAACTAAATATTTCTCAAAATTGGAACATACCTTTTCCCAAATCGAACAAAAATGTTTCCTTCCTGTCCCTGCTGGAGTCAAATTGGGTTCCATCAAGAAAAGTTCCAGTGTAATGAACCTCCACTTTTGAGCCCTTTGGAGGAGATTCGTCACCAAACCCTTCTTTCACAACACGTTTCAGAACTCCAGCATCTTTATTTGGAGAAATATCAACAAAATTATCCATCGCAACTTCCAATGGTCAGTACTTAGTTTTATTTTGTATGACACACCGCAATCTCAACTTGAGTCAATTTAGGAGGTTATATTTATTTGCATTTTGCCACAGCATAGGTAACAATCAGCAATGTCACTTCGCTTGGCGGGAGAAGTTCGCGCATATCCGTCGCGTTGATGAGTCTGCCATTTTGGAAAGTGACAGACCAAGATTCCTAGAAACCCTGGTGTAGCAAAGCTTAGATTTTGTTTTGAATTTTTTGAAGGAACCACCTGTTGCTTTCAACTATACTTACGAGAGTTTTCCCAAGATGGCGCTATTCTGAATTGTTCGAGTCCCCGCTGAGTCAGTCAAATTAATTATTATCTGTCATTGTCAAAAAGAATTTTCAACTTTTGGTATTCGATTCGTGATCTGGCTTTCATTGAGTGAACTGGTCGAAAAAGTGTCAGCGTCACAAATTGGAAGAGAGTTGAATCTGCAAGCAGAGAAGATCAAACAGGTGTGCTAGTATCTTTTCTTTTACTCATCTCATATTCATACATTCTTATAAATCAACCCATACATAATTTGATTTAACCTTTTTTATAACATGAGTTCGGAGTCGGGGGGAGAGGAAACTCCCCCTCGTGTCAAAAAAAAAATGATGGAAGAGTCAAACATTTTCAATTTGAATAACGACGGAGATAGCGAAGACTTTGAGGTAGAAAGTATTTTCAACTCTCAGTCCCTTGCTGATAACGTTAATATGTTTAATATTCAGGAAAATAGAAATTTGCATTCTTTGACTGAAAAAACTTTAAATACAAATTTAACAAAAACTCAAGAACATGAAAAAGATACACTTTTTTATAAAGAAGGTTCCTTGGGACCTTTCACAGTTATAATTGAAGCAACTGAAGAGTCAGGAAATTATATTGGAAGACTTAATCAGTTAAAGATAGCAAAAGAGGTTTTTGATTTGAAATTATCGCATATTAGCAAAATTACCAATAGAGGTAGAAATAGAATTGGAGTGGAATTCAATAGGAGAATTGAGGCAAATAATTTTATCAACAATAATGATCTTACAAAGAAAGGGTACAAAGTATATATACCATTTAATAAAATAACTTGTAAAGGTATTGTAAGGGGAATACACAATCACTTTACGGAAGATGAAATCAAACATCTGATTAAAAGTCAATTCAAAGTACTACAGGTTAAAAGAAT